CAGGGGCGGCTGCTGCAGTGGCGAGCGGCTCCAGGGGCTGCTGCTGCAGTGGCGGGCGGCTCCAGGGGCTGCTGCTGCAGTGGCGGGCGGCTCCAGGGGCTGCTGCTGCAGTGGCGGCTGCTCCAGGGGCTGCTGCTGCAGTGGCGGCTGCTCCAGGGGCGAGAGGCGGATTAGGTCAGGGCGACGCGGCGGGCAGGTGGCGACGCCGCGGGCAGGTGGCGATGCCGCGGGCAGGTGGCGACGCCGCGGGCAGGTGGCGACGCCGCGGGCAGGGCGACGCGGCGGGCAGGTGGCGACGCCGCGAGTAGGGCGACGCCGCTAGCAGGTGGCGACGCCGCGGGTAGGCGACGACGCCGCGGGCAGGCGCCGACGCCGCGGGCAGGCGACGACGCCGCGGGCAGGCGACGACGCCGCGGGCAGGCGGCGACGCCGCGGGCAGGCGACGACGCCGCGGGCAGGCGACGACGCCGCGGGCAGGCGACGACGCCGCGGACAGGGGCTACGTCGCGGGCAGGCAACGACGCCGCGGGAAGGCGGCGACGCCACGGGCAGGGCGACGCGGCGGGCGGCGAGAGCCTGCAGGGGCGGCGCGCGGTCGTGCAGAGGCTGCGCGCGGGCCTGACGGGTGTGCAGGGGCGGCTCTCGGGCCTGACGGGCCTGCAGCGGCGGCTCGGGGGCCTGACGGACCTGCAGGGGCAGCTCGAGAGCGCACGAGGGCGCACGAGGGCGCACGAGGGCGCACGAGGGCGCACGAAGGCGCACTAGCAGAGAAAGGCGCACGAGGGCGCACGAGGGCGCACGTAAGGTAGAGCGCACGAGGGCGCACGTAAGGTAGGGCGCACGAGGGCGCACGTAAGGTAGGGCGCACGAGGGCGCGCCTAGCGGAATAGTGGGCCCATTGTAGAAAGCGGTCCTAGGTAGCAACCTAGGCTTCTGATACCATGTCAGAATCTAGAATAGAACGAGAATGGATGAACTAGCAGGAAGGTGGGTACAAGTATGAAACCCTAAGTTTGTGTACCCTCTAAGGCTAAACCCACTATAGCCTACACAATATAAACATACAATGTTTGACAGGAGGTGAACTCACCACCTCTGTCAGAGTGCAGACGTAGGACAGGAAGGTCCAAATGGAACCGCTCGCGGAGCTGGAGACGTACAGCGCGGATCCAAGGGATCAAGACATCAGGGACCTCCCCCTTGCTGCGTAAGGGGAAGACCGTGGTGTAACGCGTGTAGTCGTCAACAACCAGCAGAAAATGCCGCTCGCGGTCCAGTCCACGGACGCGGGATGGGCCTTACACGTCCATGTGGAGAGTCTGCAGGGTTGCCTTTGTCGAGGGAACCTAGGAGTGAGGAGTGGTGCGCTGCCACCCCTCGACGCAAGGAAGGCAGGGCGGGGCAGGCGAGTGCGGGCGGGGGGGCAGAGACCTAGGAAGACCAGAGACAAGGAGGCGGGAGTGCATGCTATGGAGGTGTGGCAAAGAGGGGTGACCAAGGCGGTGGTGCCAGAGGAGAGTCTGGTGCGAGAGGTGGCGATACGACCAGAGGGCTGCTACCTGACGTGACGTGGACACCTGACCAGACGCAGCCACCTGAGTAGGCTCAGTAGTCAGTGTGTACAGGCTCGACCCAGGCCGACGGGTGAACGTGGCCAGGTGGCAGACCATCCGTGTGCACGTGCAGATCACCACACGCTGACCCCCAGTAGTGGTGGTAGTGACCATCGCATCCTGGAGGGCAGCGGTACTCACCAAGTTCGTAGAGAACGAGGGGAGGTGAAGACCTGAGAGTGAGCCAGACGGAACCGCCGGACACGGGAGAACAGTGGTGGACACGAGAGAACTGGGCCCCCTGAGGGGTCAGCCTGTGAGAGTACGACGGCTTATGCTTGTTATTCATGCTTGCTTTTATTTCCTTACGCTACTTCTAGCTTAGGTTTATTTTATGCATGCATGAATTGCTTGATTCCTAGGCTAGGTGCTTTCCTATATTTTATTATAGTTATAAGCACCGTGCTAGGTTACACCGAATTCGGAGCTATTCGGTTGCCACCGAAATGCTTTCTACCGAATTCGGGAAGGGTCTGTTCGGGACGCTTCGCGACCCGCAGAACCTTCGCGTAACACCTGGTTACTGCCCCTTGTGTCGAGCCTATATATAGCCTCGTGTTGTACCCAGGTGATCATTCAATTCAAATCATCTTTTCTGAGCTCGATCCTAGATCCTTACACAGCCAGTCTGACTGCAACCGGTGCAGAGAGTGGTGTGAGTGTCGTACTGTCACGAAAGAAACAGCAGGAAGCACTTGAGTCAAGCGTGAAGGTGTGCAAGGCCTCAGCAGGCGCAGTACCAGAGAGAGCAGACTCACTAGCACCTAGAGCAGCAGCCTCTATACCAGGGTCGGGCGGCACACACAGGTAACAGTCACCCTCAGTACCAATAGTCAAAGCATACATGGCAGTAAGGATAGTGTCATAGTCTAGAGAGAATATATCCAACTTGTTCTGAAGCAGCTCTAGTCAGCGGGGGAGCTCAGCCTCGTCGCCAAACTCTTCACGCCAAGCGCCGCTCAGACAGGCGAAGCAGTGGGCCTGTGTGTGACCAACTGTCCTGCAAGTCTGACCAGCTTGATCACCTATGTGAATGATGTACGGGCAGCGAGCAGTACTCCGAGACGCCCCACGCTGAGCGTACCACTCACGAATTTGCTGGGGCATATGGGTCTCGCGCGGACGCCGCTGCAGCTGCATCTGGCCACCGCCAGAAACTCCGCACTGAACAGCTCCACCGCGACTGCCACTACGGCCGCCGCCACCACACCTACTGGCGTACCTCTCACGGAGTTGCTGGGGAGTAAGGGTCTCGCGCGGACGCTGCTGCAGCTGCATCTGGCCACCGCCAGAAACTCCGCACTGAACAGCTCCACCGCGACTGCCACTACAGTACAGCCGCCGCCACCACACCTACTAACGTACCACCCACAGAGCTGCTGGGGAGTAAGGGTCTCGTGCGGACTCCGCTGCAGCTGCATCTGGCCACCGCCAGAAACTCCCCACCGAACAGCTCCACAGCGACTGCCACTATGGCCTCCGCCACCACTCCCACTGGTGCCACCACCGCCGCCACTGCTCCCACCGCTACCACGAAGAGAAGTCATAGCGGGCAAAGCAAGGAGGCGTGTGACCAGCAGGGCAGCACTCAATGAGGACAGGGCGGCGAGCAAGCAGTAGGGTAGCGCATAGGGTAGGGCGGGGCGGCGCGCAGTCAGGGAAGGGTGGCGCGCAGCTAGAGTAGGGTGGTGCGCTGACAGGTAGGGTTACAGCAGGGCGGCGCGCGGGCTACAGAGGGCGGCGCGCGGGCAGCAAAGGCCAGCGTGCGGGCAGGCAGGGGCGGCGCGCGGGCAGGCAGGGGCGGCGCGCGGGCAGGCAGGGGCGGTGCGCGGCCAGAAGGGCGGCACACGGGCTGCAGAGGGCGGCGCGCTGGCAGGCAGTGCGGCGCGCGGGCTGCAGACGGGCGGTGCGCGGGCAGCGCGACGCAGGGCAGGGCGTGCGCGGGGCGGCGCGACGCAGGGCAGGGCATGCGCGGGCAGCGCGACATAGGGCAGGGCGTGCGTGGGGCAGCGCGATGCAGGCAGGGCAGGGCATGCGCGGGGCGGCTCGACGCATGACAGGGCGTGTGCGGGGCAGCGCGACGCGAGCAGGGCAGGGCGTGCGCGGGTCGGCGCGACGCGGGGCAGGGCAGGGCGTGCGCTGGCGGTGCAACACAGGGCAGGGCGTGCGTGGGGTGGCGCGACGCGGGGCAGGGCAGGGCGTGCGCTGGCGGTGCGACGCAGGGCAGGGCGTGCGTGGATGGCGCGACGCAGGGCAGGGCGTGGGGTAGCGCGGTAATCACAGTCAGTCACTAGCTAATGGTGGGCCAGGAAAAAAGCGGACCTACGGACCTGCTGCTCTGAATCCATGGCAGAATAGTGAGCAGAGAATGATTCATTGAACAGAAATGTGGGTACAAGTACTAACCCTAATTTGGGTTGTACCCCTTATGGGCTACCCCACTACAGCCTACACAGCACAAGCATCATTATAGTTTGACATGAAAGTGTCAAGACTCAAGGGACTTTGTTATTCACCATAGGCCCCTGTCATATAGGCGCCTTACATAATTTCCTGCATATACTATAAGACCCGGAAGAACTTTATATGATACTGTAGAAGTTCAAAAAAATGGGTAGGGTAGACATTTGAATTAGGGGTGACGGGTCCTATTCTATATTTGTATTATGCAGTATCCTGCTCCTTTTATGCTGACAGTGGTTATTGAATGTTGCCTTGCCACCACCAGGGGTCCATGGCCCCTGCTAGGATCTCGTTAAACGTCTGTGGGTTTTTAAGCAAAAGTGTGTTTCTTTGTTGCAGTATGAGGTTGTAGAGAGCGGTGAAGAAGAGATACCACATGCGGTAAGGACCAGCTAAGGAGGTGAGCAAGACCGCAGCAGCAAGAGTGGTAAAGCGCAAGGCTGAAGCAGAGCAAACAGCAACAGCAGGCGAAATGGACAAGGACTTGGATGCAAGTAGAGGAAGGGGGAGCAACGCTAGGTAGAGTGCTTTGTGACAGCAACAGTGATTCTAGAACTTGGTTCAGACTCAGACTACCGGTAGTGTGATTGTTGTAGTCAATACCCATTTTCGTATGACAATGAAATCAAGTGGTAGTTTTAGTGATTATAATATTTTCTCATCCATCATGCAGGGAAAATCCCAGCACATCTAATGTATCAGATGGACCGAGGGGCCCATCTACGGTAATGCATCAAGCACGGATCGAATCTTAAAGAGGAGGACCCTGCTTTCCATTCCAGCCCTTCACTGCACAGGGGCCAAGCAAACAGGCATCTGAAGCAAGCAGATACGGTCGTACACTTTCACTGCGGGCTGCCAACAACGCGCACTTCACAGCCACCAGACAATCCACTTCATCAGAACAGCAGAGGGACCCTAGACCTAGAACAGCCAGTCGGTCCTCTTGGGAGGGTCAATGCGCACAGGCTTCTCGAGCAGGTAGTTGAGGCGCATGTGCGCGCCGATGCGCTCCCCCACGTCGAGCTTGGGCAGCACGTGGTAGTACAGGCGCTTGTACCCCAGCGCCCTGATTAGCGCCACGTACACCGCCATCTCGTCCAGCAGCGCGTAGAACATCTCAAACCACAGAACCCCGCCTGGGTGAGAGCACATGCACACAGGTGCGGGGGGATGGCAGGGGTAGGTGGCATGCAAGGCATGGGAGGGTTAGAATCAATGAGGTGGATGCAGTGTATCAAAAGAGTGGTGGCGATGAGTAAGGAGTAGTGTGACGTAGGCATGAGGTGCAGGGCTGGTCCATAAGCGGCCCCACCTGGTACAGCCGGTTCTGAGGACAAGCTGGTCTGACCTGTTCAGATCAGTCCAAAAAACAATGTGGCTTGGGTTGATGGTCCGTGCCAGGTTGTGTCTCGGACCGTCAGAGTCTTTATGAACAAGATGCATGTGATTGCATCTATATCGATCCGGCAAGAACAAGATGCGAGAGAGTACTAGAAGTTGGTTGTGCCGGGCGAAGGCCATGACCTCCGCCACTGGCGGATTTCAACCGGTCACGTTCCAACAGGCTGAGGCCGATCGTCAACGACGGGATCACTCAGTAGCAGTCGGAGATCAGGTGCTTCTTGACACGCGCAACTTGAACCTGTCTCACCTTCCATCAAAATTCCGACCTCGCTTCTGTGGTCCATTTCTCGTGGAGGCACAGGTGACACCAGTTACATTCCGCTTGCGCTTACCAGATACGTGGAAGCTTCACAATGCTTTCCATGTTCAGCTACTGAAACCCTACAAGGACCCCAACCAACAGTTCCAGGGACGGCAGCTACCGCCACCACCACCTGTTCTTGTGCAGGATGAACCAGAGTACGAGATCGAGCGCGTTCTCACTCATCGGCGCCGCGGCGGCAAGACCCTCGAGTTCCTGATACGCTGGAAGGGATACGACCCCACTGAGGACAGTTGGGTTGCAGAAGCTGATATGGGCAACGCACGCCGTGCTCTCAAGGACTATCTTGTCAAGCAGGGTGTATCTCACGCCACCCAGCTTTGAGGGGGGGACGTGTGAGAGTACGACGGCTTATGCCAGCCATGCATGCTTGCTTTTATCTTCTTACACTATTACTAGCTTAGGTTTATTTTATGCATGCATGAATTGCTTGATTTCCTAGGTTCGTTGCTTTACTATAGTTATTATAGTTATAGGCACCGAACCAGGTTACGTGTACCGAACTCAAGCTTATTCGGTTTCCACCGAATGGCTTTCTACCGAGTTCGGGAAGGTTCTGTTCGGGACGCAACGCGACCCTCAGAACATTCGCGTAACACCTGGGTTACCTGCCTTGTGTCGAGCCTATATATAGCCTCATGTTGTACCCAGGTGATCATTCAATTCAAACTCTCTTTTCTGAGCTCGATCCTAGATCCTCACACATACATGGCAGCAAGAATTGCATCATAGTCAAGATCAAAGATAGGAACATCACGCCTAAACAAGTCTGCCCTTGAGGGGAACTCAGTAGCCTCAGGAAACTTGGCGCGCCAGGCGTCGCTAAGCCGAGCGAAGCAGCGGTACTCAGTGTGAAAACCGTTGCATGGGCGACCAGCGCGGGGACCTGTGCGAATGATATAGGGGCAGCGACCAGGACCCCCAGACGCCCCACGCTGAGCGTACCAGTCATGAAGCTGCTGAGACGTGGGGGTCTGGCGCCGACGTTGCTGCTGCTTCTTCTGCCCCTGGCCACCACTGGAGCACCCCTTCTGGCTGGTTCCACTCTAGCCCCCACCACCACTGCCACCACCACTCCCTCCTCCCCCACCACCGCCGCTGCCACCACCACTGCTCCCAGTCCCACCGCCGCCCCCACCACTAGCTCCACCCCCACGACCACCCCCACCACCTCCACCTCCCCCGCCGCCTCCACCACCGCCCCCTCCACCGCCACCTCCACCTCCCCTGCCACCCCTGTTGCCCCTGGCGCTGCGGCGCTTCCCACTAGGAGCGGAAGCAGCCCCGACCTCCTCAGCACCAAGGAAGTCGACAGCAGCAGCAGCTGAGGCGTAGGAGGGGGCAAGAGGGGAGGGGGAGCACCCCTCAAAGAGGGGAGTGCGAGGAGTGCCACGAGCAGCACCTACAGCGAGAATGTTATGTTCGGCTGCTAGGAGGTGCTTCTTGAAGTCGGCGACAGTGAGAGTGGTAGGGTCTAGGGCGAGAAAGTGGTCCCTGACTGAGCGAAGAGTGTCAGGGAGGCGGGTGACGAGGAAGTAGAGAGTAAAGTACATCGAGGGGGGATTCTCGGCGAGGAAGTCGTCTGAAAGGGCGGCACGAAAGCGAGCGTCACTAGCACAAAGGTGAGAAATGAGGTCCTCAGCGGTGGTAAACGAGGACAGGTCGGGGAACAGGTAGGGTAGGAGAAGACGACCTAGGGCTGCAGTGGCTGGGGAAGAGTAGCGGGCAACTACAGCCTCATACAGTGCCTTAGCAGTCTTGTGCTGGCTAAAATGCGCGCGCTCAGTGATCGGCAGATGATTGCGAATAGCGAGGCGCGCAGCAGCATCACGAGTCTGCCACTGTGAGCGGTCGAGAGCGGCAACAGTGTCAGCAGGAGCAACGGAAGTGCCAGACGCGTGATCGAACAGTGAGACTCCGTCTTTGGCATCGGTCATAAGAAACAGTTGCAAGTCGTCGAGCCAAGTGGCAAACTCTATCGGGCGACCGTCAGGATCGAAAGCGAGGATTTTGAGAGTCGCCATGATTGCAGCGCAGGTAATAGTAGCACGCAGACGGTAAAGTAGAGAGCAGGACGGGAGAAGCTGCGCGCAGGGCTGCAGTGGCGGTGCACGAGCTGCTGGGGCGGCGCGCAAGTGGCTAGGGCGGCGCGCAGGGCAGCCGCGAGGCGCGCGCAGGCTGCTGGAGCGGCGCGCGGGGGGGGTAAGGCGGCGCGCGAGGCAGCCGCGGGCTGCGCGAGCGGCGGAGGCAGCGCGCGGGGCAGAAGCGGGCCGTCCGAGGGAGGAGGAAGCTGTGCGCGGGGCAGCTGCGGGCCGCACGAGGGCGGCGGAAGCTGCGCGCGGGGCAGCTGCGGGCCGCGCGTGGGCGGCGGAGGCTGCACGCGGGGCAGCCGCGGGCTGCGCAAGCGGCGGAGGCGGCGCGCTAGGGAGCAGCGGGCTGCGCGCGGGTAGCAGCAGGCGGTGCGCGGGACTAGGGCAGCGTGCGAAGGAAAAGGCAGGGCGCGCGCGAGCGGCGCAGCGCAGGCAAGGCAGGGTGCGCATGGGCGGCAAAGCGCAGACAAGGCAGGTGGGGCAGCTCAGTAACCGCAACGGTAGGTGGGCCCGAAAAAAAAAACGGTCCTACGGACCTACTGCTCTGAAACCGTCTCAGAAACTACAGGCAGGAATGAATGAACTAGGTCAAAGTTGGGTACAAGTATGAAACCCTAAAGGGGCTATACCCCATATTGGCTACCCCACTACAGCCTACGCATTTGTAACTGTTAGAGTAGGTTGGTAGGGATGGTTGCACTATCGAGAAAGTTGGTACAAGTAACAAAACCTATACCCTACATTAGCTACCCCACTAAAGCCTACATTTAATTATGACACTGGCATATAATTTGACACACCCCCATAGGCAAAGTGGGGGAGCAAGGGGTCACAGGACCAGTCAAGAGAAACAAAGCAAGCTCAGGGTGGATCACAACGTCACCACACACTTCGAGCACAAGCAAAGGGCCACAAGGCCAGTTCACATGCAGAGATATATACTCAACAACAACAGCACAGTGATCACTACCTAGCAAGAGCAAGCAAGCGGTATACGTATAGAGGTCACAGTACAAACAAAGTGTACAGCAAGTGTGGAAACGTAGGCACAAGACCTAACAAAGTACAAAAGCGCTGATGATCACCAGACGGAAGCGCCTTGGTGAATATATCAGCGGTGTTGGCCCGAGTGGCCACGTGACGAAGACGAAGCTGGCCTCGCTGCTGCAACTCTCGAGCCAGGAAGTAACGCAGAGCGATGTGCTTCGTTCTGTGCTCCAGTCTGTGCTCCTCACACAAGACAATGGCCGCCTTGTTGTCAACGTACAGAACTGGAGGAGAACGAGGCCGCTCACCCAAGTCAGTCAGCAGGTAGGTGAGCCAACGTAGCTCCTGTGCAGCCATGGCAGTGGCGTAGATCTCAGCCTCACAACTGGAGCTGAGAACAGAAGACGAGCGTGTAGACCGCCAAGAAACAGAGCCAGAGCCAAGGCTGAAGGTGTAACCCTGTGACGACCGCTGTGTAGTCTGGTCGTCAACCCAAGACGCGTCTGAGTGCCCAGTGAGGACCACCTCACTCCGTCCTCCAAGCACGAGCCCCATGCCTGATGTACTGCACAGGTAGCGCAACACCCTCTTGGCAGCATCCATGTGCACCTTTCGGTGCCTGCCAGGAGCCACGTAACGAGCCAAAAGGCCAAGAGGGTATGCGAGGTCAGGTCGTGTGCAGGTCATCAGGTACATGAGGCAGCCAACTAGCTCTGGGTAAGGACCACTCGGCTCTACGGACTCGTCCGAAGGTGGAGCTGAGAGCGAGTGACCTGTAGCCAGAGGAGTGGGCTGTGGGGAGGACCAGGAGAAGCCGAAGCGCTGAAGGACCTGCTGCACCATGTGTGACTGAGTCAGGGTGATGGTGCGGCGTGCTCTGTCCCGGGTGATCTGCAAGCCAAGGTAGCTGCGCAGCTCACCCAGGTCTGTGCACGTGTGTCTCTTCTGCAGCTCCGACTTCACCAGGGCGAGAGCCTCAGTGTCAGCAGTGGTAAAGACCAAGTCGTCGACGTACACGAAGATGTAGAACGGCGGCAGCGAAGTGTTGGTGCGCAGGAACAGCGACGGGTCAGCAGTCGAAGGAGCGAACCCAAGAGCCGCAAGCGTCATCCTCAGTGTGTCGTGCCACTCACGAGGCGCCTGGCGGAGACCGTAGACTGGCCGCCGGAGACTCCACTGGGTACCAGGAGGAAACGACCCAGTGAAGCCAGGTGGGCGGCGCAGCCAGATCTCCTCATGCAGGCTGCCCTGTAAGAAGGCTGTGCTGAAGTCAAGTGAGTGAAGCTCGTAGTCACGCTGAGCGGCAACGTGCAGCAGCACCCGAAGAGTGGTCATCTTCGGGGTGGGGG